GAGAGAAGCCTAAATTAAGTTCTTCACTTTACGGTGATCGCTAGAGCCTTAGAGGCATTTATAACAGTCATCATTTAAATTCCCTGAGTCTCTTAATAACACGCCTATACACGAACCCTGGACTTTGCATGTTTTCCATGAAACTGTGGGTCACATCTACTTCTGGAAGAACATAAATAATTATTATTTTTAAGAGAGGCAAAGGAAAAAGCTTACGTCTATGCATTTCCCGGTAAAGAATAGTTAGTGCTTGCAAGGAATTATCATCTGTGGGTTCAAGCGCTGCTACTTCTTGTGCCAGAGCATACGCTTCATCTTGCTTGCCAGTTCTCTGCAAGCCAATTGCCTTTAGAACCTATTGACACAACACAGAGGCAGCTGTTAGAAACACAGTTGGCAGTTACCAGTGAAAATCCTCTCATTCCTGGTGATGAGAGGCTTTACCCAACCACCTCATTACTTCTACAGAACTTCAGGTTTTATTAAGCTTCTAATCCATATGGCTGTAGAGGAAAACTTCCAAATGCAAACTGCATCAAACAGCATGGCTTTGCATTTCTTAACAAACATGCAGGCCACTCTAAGGCATCAACTGCCACTCAGTTTTCCCCACGTGCAGACTGAAGACTGACCAGCCCTGCCAATTTTCATTTTTTTTTCTTTCAGTAACTGGCCAGAGAGAAGTGACATAAATGAGATTCAGGTCAATGACACTTGCTTCAGCTTGGGAAGCTTTCAAAATGTAGAAGTAGTATGAACTGTAGAGCAAAACCCACAGGGAAAAGAGAAAAGTAGAAAGATTCCCAACCTAAGGTCTAGAAGAGGCATTTTCAAGGCACAGCCCATGCGCCAAGGTTGCTTGCAGTGGCTCTGACAGGGAGCTAGACAATTAGCTCGGGTGTAACCAATGACACTCTAGTCATTAGAGGCACCTCACCGAGAGGATCCATACAAATTTTCAGACAAACACGATATTGCGTGAATGAGAGCAGACCGAGACATTCCAGAGGGTTCAGAAAACACCGTGGGGTCTCTGGAAGATCACGGACACTGCTCAAAAGGCACAGCAAAACACTCCAAGTCTCAGAGCTACACTCACCAAACGAGGTCAGTGCACCGCAATCACACTTACCTTTGCACAGTGAAGATCCTTGTGTTTTTTGAGCAGTTTATCAGCTTGCTGGATTGCCATTTTATTATTGCCATTATCGAGATAATCTGCATAAGAACAACATATATAGTATTATAACAGAACACAAGACCATTCTGGAAAGCTATCTCTAATTTTACTGTGCAGTATGTGCTGTTAGGCCAGTAGTGCAAACTGCATTTGCCTTGTACAATTACTACTAAGCCAAACGTTCAGGAAACATGTCATTTCGTAGATGAAGTATTCATCTCGCTGTACTAGTTTTAGTCATTCAAACAAACAAGCTTTTGTAATTACTCCACATAGATCATTACAGCAACAAAGGAGACATATAATAGAGCGGGTTCTGCAGCAACAGCTCTTTGCTAGCAATGGAGCTTAGGCTCTTTGCTTCAGTAAAAGTAGAAATTAATTTGGTGTGCCTTTGGGAGTCTTTCAATGACTTTTAACAGGCAGTAGGTTAGAAACTAAGCACTCACAATCTATCAAAGCATTAAGTGAGAAGACCTACTTGTCCACACGATCCATACTTCAGGCAGAGCAAATCTGTCCCCTGACAGAGTATCACTACGCTTTCACCAGACTGGTTTTAAAGACAAAAAAGCTCCCCCGGGAGCTTCACTATTTCCTAGGGGGATAGCCCACTATCTAGTAAAACTTCAGCTGTAGAAAACCCCTGTCTCAAGACCATTTTCTCCTTTTTTCAGCTCGGTACTATAATTCTCAGCTTCACCTACTGTGCATCATCATGTTAGTAGACAACTACAAACAAGCAATTTTAGATTAGAACATCACCCCTATATGCTTCCCCTCCCTCAAAAATTAATACTTACTAACCAAAACCTAGCAGAAAAGCTTAGCTGCACCTGACATGCCAACAGGGAAGGGTCCGCTCACAGTGTTCTGGCCTCTCCCCTACCAAACTGCAAACAGAGCTAATGCCAGTTAATTGACATTATGTTACACACCTTCTTCTCGTCAAGACTGTAGTTCTCATAATGAGAGAGAACTCTTTTACTGAGTAGAGAGGTGACCTTTAGTAATTCCTTGGTATATGGTACAAAGTGTGCATCTATACTAATGAGATTTATATTCGGCAGCTTTAACATTTGCTTCCATGGCCAAGTAAGTGCTGCAGATTTAAAGTAGAGCTAATTGGACTCCTGAGACCATACAGACAAAACCTCAAACGAGGCAGCCTGCCCACACTAACCAAAACAAAATGTTGCTGCATAAAATATAGTTTGAAACTGCAATACATCGTCTTTAAATGGGTTAAATCGCCATTTTAACTTATGAACACCTGTGCAGGACCTTTAACATTAAAACTTAAGCACAGACTTCTCAGTGGAGAGGCTTCTGTGGAACAGACCATCGTGGCAATCTCTTCATACACCAGCAGAGACTCCTTGATTTAAGGATTTGTGTTGCACAGTTCACCTACACACAAATCATCTGCCATGCTGCACTGCCTGTCTTAGATTATTTAACAACTGTGCCGATAAGATCTCCTCTTTAGGTTTCCTGAAGTAAATCAAATAAACCACAAACCTCTCTAAACTGCAGCAGAATAAAAAGATTGTATTTTGCTAACAAGAAGTAAGTTTGTTGAAAGCCAATCTAGCTGGCAACTTCCAAAGGAATTCAAGCTAAAGGAAAATGAACTTAAGCCTACGTTAGTTGCAAATCTGTAGGTGGAGATGTTCAATGGCTGGAAATGCAACACATGAACCTTCAGGTGAAGGCAGAGCAAATCAAGTTGAAAGAAAAACACAGCTGTCAAGGAACCCTGAGTAACCAAGGCACACAGTGCCAACTGAAAAGCACTGTTGTAAGTCAAGAACCAGACCCGCGACCTCATGCTGCGCATCTCCAGTTTATGACTTTTGTGAAGTTGTGTATTTACCTCTTTAAGGTTATACACTTTATTTCGGGTTCTGCAGCACCAAAGCCTGAATTCAAATCTTACACTGCAGAAGATAGCTTTCTGCTAGCTCTAGAAAGGATTATAAAGCTCTCTCCCTAATAGCTATACTCTGAAATGAATACAGTGAAATACATCTCAACATCAACTGCTTTAGTATCGGTTGAATTTACCAAGCTTTTTCTTTTAAGAACATTTAAGACATTACAGAGGTTATAACACAAATAATTGCACATTAATAAAAATGGCAATCACAGCATGTACAGAAAACTAAGGAAAAATCTTAAAATTGTTACATAAAGACAAGCTGCACAGCTGCGCTCATAATTATGCAATGAACTTTAAGACAGCTGTGTGTTTACACTTTTAATCAAGCAAAACTATCTTCCTCCATTTCACTGGAATCCATCATGGATGCAAGTCTATACCGCACCGTCCTCACTGCCTGAGCAGCAAAGGGCATTCCCAAAGCACGTTCATCCCCAAATGAGGGCAGCTCTCCACATGTTTGTAGGGAGAGATTTTTTTTTCTGGTGTTGAGAAAGTCAAGGACATTTTCCTAAATCTCTATCCAATCTTCAGTTTTAGGGAGGAAATGATACCGTAGCCTGGGGAAGTGTTTTTCTTTTCTCTTTCCCTATATTTGCATAAACAGAGACAAGCTTGTCTACGATCTCTTAAGCAATCCCAATTGCACGTAATACCCATGGAAATATTTGGGGACAGCTTAATACAAGAGGTTTCTTAACAAGACCGTCTCCTTCTAACTACTTCACTCTCATCTCCCAATTAATTTTCACAACACCATAATTAGTCTGTGCCACAACACCTCAACATACAACTTTAAGATTTCCTTGACTGCTCTTGCTCCTTGTATGAATTGATCAATTTCTAACTTCTCTGCAGCAGAAAACAAACGCCGACCAAAGTTACCTCGACGGAGGGAAAGCAGCACAGAAACCACCACCACCCGCTGGAGAGAGGCACCGCCTG